TAGCCTTGGTTGGCAACCGGTCTAGGAGAAGGAAAAACTTTGAATTCAAAATCGGCCTGAAGAAAGTTGGGCCCCGTCAGGCCATCTTACCCAAGAAACACCACTTCTACCGCGGCTGCAGTACACGTGGTACCTCTACCAACCTCCCGGACACAGGGTTAAAAAAAAATATGTCTAGCAACAGGATGGAAAATAATGACTAAACTCGGAATTTTTTAATATTTTTTTTTTTTATCTCAAATAGGTTTTAGCAAGTTTCAGCTTTCAACCTATGTTTTGTGCGTTGAAACATCAGCAAGACAGATACTACACACAGTTATTTGGAAGAAGTGTTGGAAAGTTATTTAACACTTAACGGAATGTAACACAAGGCAGAGTTTAATGTGAAAGTAAATAGGTCTCGATCCAAATTTACTTAGCACATTTAGTACTTCTCCGTGTATATAGGAACGATTCAGGCGCTAGGAATTAGATGTAGCCTCGTAGCAAAGATAAAGTATTGCCTGGAAGGACGCCCACTTTTGAACTGAGCGTATTATGTTTTAAGTTCTCTAAGCAAAAAAGCTACACTTTGTAGAGAGAGAGAGCACGTATTTTGATCCTGAACAGAATTTGATCCTGAACCATCGTTATTTTAACGTGTACAATGCCAATTCTTGGTTTAATATGAATGCATTTCAAATGATTTCCCTAATGAAAAGCATCACAAATGCTCCTACCGTGGGAAAGCATTAGAAACAAAGACATGGGATTGTCAGTAAAAAATTTAAAAAAAAAGTTAAATAAAGCGTTGTTGACAGGACAGAGCTTTTATAGGCATAATTATTGTTACTCATTAATGAAGGAATTATTTCGCTACAGTTTGATGCGATAACTTTTCAAAGTGGGAATACAAAAAAAGCAATAAAGTATTCTTTCTTATCCAATGTAACTCATAGTAAATTTTGTTTTTTCGGTATCTCTCCTAATCCTTGTTCTGCCAACCACTCACACAAACTCGTTAGGTAGATTATGCACCGATTTGCTCTTTCCTTGCCTTTAATATGCCTTGTGAGTGACAAATTTTCTAAGCCCTCTTTCCACATTATGTACTCTAAAAATTTCAACTCTTTTTGATGTTAACTATAAGTGTCCTTTTTCTTTCCAGTTTCTCTAAAATTTTGTCATTACTCACATGTTCAGTCCATGGTATTCTCAGCATCCTTTTCTGTTGTTTGCTGTCTTTTCCCCATCTGTGTTGAGATTGTTCAGCATAGGAGAACCGATATTACATAACAGTTAAATACTCTTTTCTTTGTTTTTTAAGAAATGTTCCTGTTTCTTAATACATTGCTTAGCTTTCGGGAGGCATCTTTCGCAATCCAATGTGCCTTCTGTTTTCGGTTTCGCACGTTAAAAGACAATCTCGAACTAAACCGACCAATCTGCTCTTGCTCATTTGTAAAAAAAAATCGTTTCTAGTCCCTTTAATAAATTTCGGAAAGTGTTACCAATGAGACAGTATCTACGATAACAGACCTTTCATGCTGGATTTTTACAGTCCAAAAGCTGGATAGATAACATCAAAGAATGGACCAGGATGTACACTCCGACGTTGTTTTGTGAGACAGAAAAGAGATCTGATTGGTGGTGGCTGGTTGCATTATTGTCGCTCATGTCTCCTTTACGGTTGTCTAGTTCATGAGGTATGAAGAAAAAGAAATTGTGTGTATTGTGTTAGTATTACAGATTTCCAGACTCACTGAACAAGACTCAAATTTCAGAACGCACACATGCACGCACGCACAAACACACACACACACACACACACACACATATATATATATATATATATATATATATATATATATATATATATATATATATATATCAACCCCACCTTATTTAACAATAAAATACATCTTAAACAATCAAAACACGAAGAGAAATTAGCAACACCTAAAGGCTTTTAAATGGCTGAAGAAGTGGCTGAAACCACTTCGGACAATGGACAGTTTCTGGATCTCCTTACACCCACAAAGCGAAAAAAATGTAAGAACGCTAAAAATTAATCAAATTTTCCTCGTGTGTCATATTTAACGAAAGATGTTTAAAAGAAAAGTTGCTGCATTATATATACATTAATACATATATATATATATATATATATATATATATATATATATATATATATATATATATAAAAAATTTTATAACATAAATATGTTATAAAATCACTATAAAAAAATAGCCATTTTGTTTCAATACCTCTGGTGTCTTATCAAGTGATAATGTTGAATGTAAAATATTTATTTTACATTTTTTGTAGTGTTGAAAAAAATTTTATAACATTTTTATGTTATAAAATTTTAAATAAATAATTTTATCTGCTCTACTTTGTATTGAGCACTCTTTTAAGAATTGTAATTGTCGGTTATTAGAATTCATTCCGTATACACCAATTATATATATATATATATATATATATATATATATATGAACATTGACTTGATACTTCAAAATTGTATTAAAGTCTTGAATATTACCGATGAAAGCATCTTAATACTAAAAATGTCAAATATGTCTAAGGAACCTTTCAGTCAACCACCCTTCTTCAGAGATCAATCGTTGGCGGAAACAGTTTCTTTTTATTAATCCTAACAAGAACAACAAAAACCATACAGGGGACAATCAGGATAGCAAAACGCAATGGCGAACGATCAAAAAACATAAAATCTTTTTCTAACAAATTTAGAAACCAAATTATTTTGCGTAAATAAAACGAATGAAATTAATCAGCAGTCTGAAAAAGCACCAGAAATGGGGAAAAAAAGTGATTAGTGTTCTCCCAAAATAACAGTGGTCATTTTTTCCCTGCAATATTAAGATGTTTTCATCGGTACTATTCAAGGTTTAAATTATATATATGTATATTCACATCTATATATAAATATATTATTTAAAAAAAAAATTATTTAAAGTTCTTGCTACGTAAATATACTTTATTTAAGTATATATTTATATACATATGGCTAAACAAGAGAAGCTTTTCCAGTATAATAGAAAATAGGGTCTTGTTCAAACTATGACGTTATTCGTAACCGAGTGGTAAAGCGCGACGTATCACACGGTGGTTTCTCTTACAAAAGAGGACACAAGTTCGATCCTTGCTGAAGAACACATTTTCTTTATTAAGATTTATTTATTCCAAAAGATTTATCCTCATCACGCCGATAGCTTTTATAATTTGAATGTTAAAAATCGTGAAATTACTTCGGATTAATAGTGGAGTAGTTGCCTTCTCCACTGCGATTTATTGAGACAGTACCTCTAGTTCGCTGAACACTGACTCGTCAAGAGTTCTTACGTCTTCACTTGCAAAAAATTGAAGTGGGATGCCGGTTTCGTCATCGACCATCTGATAATAGAATGCAACATATACATACCAATACACACGCCCATATATATATATATATATATATATATATATATATATAAGGCAGGATGTGTCTGTGTATGTGTGTGTGTATGTGTAATGAATGCAAGGCCGCAATTTTCGACGGATTTGCACCAAAATTTACATGCACATGCTCCAAGTTTGCGAGAAGGCCAAGACTGACGTTGCATTTCCAAACTCCCAGCGATAGTGGAAATAATCGATTCTTTCATGTTTCTTCGGCAGTTTTCAGGTAGTTTGTAGCCATTTTGTACTGGCCAGAGTGAGAGCCTATAGCTGTCTGCCACGAATAGGCAGGAAGATTCTATTGGCCAGCGTGAGAGCCAACAGCTGACTGACACGAATGTTAACTAGCATGCTAGCATGCAAAAAAATCGATAGCTGCATTCGTCACAAGTGGGAAAAATTTAAATCTGCATGGCACTTTACTCCAATTGGCTCATTCGCTTGCTTAAACTCAACGTTGATTCTGATTCCGCAGAACTGGGTTGGATGTGAAAAAATATTTGTTGTTAACATTCTTTTTTCATTTGGTTTTTCCAGTTACATGTCCTTTTTTAAAGCTGATCGTTTTGTGTTCATTTTGTTTAGTTCTTTTTTCATAACAGATTTAATGTTTAGTATAGAGCTTAGAAAAAATTCGCAGTATGAGATAGGCAAGAAGTAAGGCATGTAGCAAGATCAGCACGGCAAAGGGCATTCCTTTAAAGGCAAGGAAGTCAAGTGATAGCGATTGCTGTATGAGTCGTACGATTTTTGAATCAAGCACGGGCAACGCCGGACAATGCTGCTAGTATATATATATATATATATATATATATATATATATATATATATATATATATATATATTAAGTTACTTAAAATTCTAAGCAATATTTTTTTAATTCAAAAGTTTGGGTTACTGCGGAAGAACACATTTTCTTTATTAAAATTTTTCAAATACGCAGAAGATAGACGTAATGCAAACTGCTTAAAGTAAAAATAAAAATGGGACGTCTATTTCAGATACGAATATCCACTGTATATATATATATATATATATATATATATATATATATATGCATCTATATATAAATATAAATTCATATAGAAGTCTTTCCAATATATATATATATATATATATGTATATACACACACACATATATATATATATATATACACACACACACACATATATATATATATATATATATATATATATACACACACACACACACACACACATATATATATATATATATATATATATATATATATATATATATATGAGAGAATATAAAAAGAAAAATTGTAAAAATAGGTCGATGGTTGTTTTCTGTTGATGGTGTTATTGTTCGTCGCCTCGTATCGCGAGCGCACCTGTTTCCTGGGTCTGTTTCGAGATACAAGATTCTGTTAGTTTGGTTTGGCGCCTGGACACTGGTCTTGTGTCGCGTGGGCCTGCATCATACTCTATGCCGAGAATTCAGCCTCATAATAAAGAACAATGCGGCTATTATTTACAAGCTTCACACGGACAACGAGTCGAGGTCAGATAACACTGCATTGTTCTTTGGTATCAGTCCTTGCAGACTTGGTATGTTCGTGCGAGCGCGCCTTCTCTCCATCCCAACCTCCCTTGTACCTTTATACATATCTCTATTTTTTTCTCTTTCGATCTGTCTGTCTGTCTCTTTTTCTTTTCTTCTTTTCTTTGTATTCCCTCAATCCCATTTTTTTCTCTCAATGTTTTCTTCACTTTCCCTCTTTCGATCTTTTTCTTTTTTATAGCTTTATCCTGTCAATTTTTTTTTGTTTTCATTTCATTGACTCGCATGACTGTCTTACGTACAGTATATCCTTTCCTTCTCTTCTCTCTTCTGCAGTTCTCTCGCTCCATCTATCTATCTCTCTATCTTGGTGTCTCTACCCGCTGTTATCTTTTCTATTTCCTCTTTTTCTATCTTTCTTTTTGTATTTTCTAGAAATTTACAAACTATATTACCCTGGTAAAAGTTTATATTTCGGGGGGAACCCACTGAAAATCAATCTCCTATCAGTATCATTTTGTGTATAAGACGCAGTTTTTTTTTATTTCCAAAGTTTTGATATCAAAATCTGCTTGCGTTATATACGCCACATGTATGAAGAGACGAAAGTGTTCTGATATTCATATATATATATATATATATATATATATATATATATATATATATATACCGGAAAGCAAAGAGATTATCGAAAATACAGAAAAAACTTTAACCAAACTTGTATAAATGAAAATCCCTACCTAAACCTAATATATATATATATATATATATATATATATATATATATATATATATATATATATATATATATATATATATATTAGGTGGGAATTTACATGTTTCATACATGTTTCAATATAGCACAGTTTTGTCTATCAATATTTTTAAATTTTCAAAATTTCTGAATTTAAGAGAAGAATTAATTACAAATTGATAGTCAGAAGTTGTCTATTTTATTTAGCCAAACATTTCTGAAAGTATATACAAATATATCTTATGTATTACCAAAATCAAATGCTCCACAATTACAAAAAGTCGAAACAGCAATAAACAAAAATCATGCTTCCATAGATATATAAAACTAGGAGTTAAAAAATACACTAAATTCATTATTTACTACAAAAAATTTAAAAAAAAGCAACCTATTTATTAAAAATAATATATCTCAAACTTCCAACTCATATATAAAAACCAATGTTTTGCATGAATATACTTGGCCACACGGTGAATATTTCTCTGAAAATAAAAAAAAAAACGCAAAACGTCTAACATAGGATACACCACAACCATACTCTCACGCGGACTCACCTGCCACATATAGCACTAGAATGCCATCAGAAAACACATTAATATGCAGCTTAAAGGCTATAGTAACATTTAACAACTACTCACAAATAATACAAAATGCTAGCAAAGTCAATCAGTAAAAAACAGACTTATGATCCTCGAAGTGATACTTATACAACAAAAACAATCATCTATAAATATAAACAATTATAAGAACTCGTATTCTCAAATTTATATAAAAAATAAAGAAAATAAAAATAAAAAATAAATAAAATAAACACGCTTATACACGTCACACTTTGTCCACACCATTGCATTCTTTGCCCACATCATTACACTCATCATTTCTATGAGACTGCACTGATTAAGAAAATCGAAAGCTTAAACAATATTTCTTCCAAAATGAACTTTTCTGGCGGAATTTCCTACTTATCTGAGAAAGATTATTCGTAATTTGGAAAAGTCGATCAATAAAATTAATCGATACAAAGCGTCTGTTGTCTCTCTCACTCTCTCATTCGGCCTCTCTCTCTCTATATATATATATATACATATATATGTGTTTTTCGGCAATATATATATATATATATATATATATATATATATATATATATATATATATATATATATATATATGCGTATTTTTGGCAGCATGTTTTGATTAAGACATGTTTCTTTGAATAGTTTAGAGATGTTCTGTCTACTTATGTTCGATAAGATCCTTTCCTACTCACATTTTGATGTCATTATTGAAGGGCGAGAGAAAATCGCCCCGTTGATACATATTTCTTTTATTACCAAGTACTTTCGACATATCAATGTGATCATCGGGGTATTGTTTATTACAAAATAAATAGTGTAGCATTCATTATAGCAAAAAAGAAATTGCTATGTTATCTGAAAGTTAAATTTTCTTACAAATGGAGTGAGGAACGCTGTGTCAGTGCGTGACCGCTGAAACAATTTAAAGGGAGGTAACTAAGTATGGTTTGGAGAGGTTTTTTTTTTACGAAATGAGTAGTTAAGCAACATCGAGCCTGGTCAGTACCTAGATCGGTGATCATATCGGAACCGCTGTTTCAACGTGATATGGCCGTAAACTATTACACCTCCCGCATACCCAAGCTTACAGCACCTGGTATTCCGTTTGGTGAGGCTGTTTAACTCATGGTTGTAGGTTTTGAATTCTGAGTTATCCTTCTCCTAGACCATTTGCGACCCAAGGCTGGTTTGTTCTGTTACTTAGCTATAGCTTTGGGCAGAAGTGATGGATTCATACCTTTGCCTATTGTATTTGCACGCAATTGAATGTAACAAACTCGAGTGGAATTCGAAATCGTCTCTCTGATTAACCAGATCCGAGCCGTTATCCATTAACCACAAAGAAAAATGCAGACAAGAAAATTTATTAAGTTTTGTATCATTTTCTACATTGAAAATTTCCATTCAAAATCGCTTTTATTTTATTTTTCGTTCTCACTTACTCCTTTTTGCTATCTTCTCTCCAACTTTTTTCTCTACGAATTTCTGCTACAGTTTTTTTTTGTTTCATTTTTGTCAGCATAACAAATTTCATGTGCTTATGGATATTTTATGACTCCTTAGAACGTATAATGAACTAGTCAATGCTTAGAATATTGCTGCCACATATGGTCCGGTTCTGCTATTTACCTTGAGCTCCTTGATAAAATCCAAAAAAGACTCAGAAATATTAGTGGTCCTGAGCTAGTGACCCAGCTTCAGTCACTTTCATACTACCATAAGGTTTCCTTCCTGTGTGTTTCGTGTAAATACTTTCATGGTAATTGTTTGTCTGCTCTGTTCGCTATGGTACCTAGACTTTTTTAATTTAAGCGCAGTAATAGACTGGTGTTGAGATTTCATCAATTCACAGTTGAGCTGGTTAGATGTAGCCATAAGTTCTATGCTAGCAAATTCTTATCTCGCACTTCTCGCTTGTGAAACTCCCTAACGGCTCCATGCTTTTCAGCCAATTTTAATCTACAAAAATTTAAATGCAATGTCAATAGCTATTTACTGTCCTCTTGATTACTTTTTTTGGTCCCCGCTCAGTAATTTTTCTATTTTTAATTCTTCCCCACCCAGTACGGTAGATTGATTTTACCCATTTTACCCACAGAAGAGAGCGCTGAACTGCTATGTAATAGTAATTCTGCTATATGACAGTGAACACTGGACAAAAAAAGACAATTCAAATATCTGGGAAACATAATGAGGAAAGAAGAGAATATATTGCTCACAGGACAGATTTAAGGTAAGAAAGGAAGAGGGAAACCGCAAATAACCTATCTAAGAAGCTTGTAACTGAACATGGTCTGGGAGGAATAGTGGGAGAAGAAACATTGCTTCGAAGCATTGTTACGAAGGAAGGAACTTGTGGAAAGCCATGATCGCCCATGTTCTGAAGGTACACGACACGAAGACGAAGAAGAATATATCAAGGTTGGTATCTTTTGGTTAATCGGGGGAAAAGGGTATCTTGTTCGTGCTGATAACTTTTCAGTACCACCACGTGTACAAGGTCTGACACTTGTTAGCTGAAATTTGATCTGAAAGACTATTGTATTATTTGCCTAATGAAGAACCGTTGTGCTACAGAAGAAGATTACGTTGACAAAAATTGATATTTCTAATATTAAATCCTTTTTTTAATCACTAGGCGACTTGACTTACCTACGAATATATGTTATTCTAAATGTTATTTTAGTGGATGCACATGTTTGAATAGACAAACAGTGTGAATTTCGTCTACCGGCCTGAGCATTCGATGGTTTAGCAGACATTATCTGTTAGTTCTCTTTAAGAATACCTGTTTATATATATATATATATATATATATATATATATATATATATATATAATAATAATAATAAACCTGTTTTATATATATATATATAAAACAGGTTTTTATATATATATATATATATATATATATATATAAAACATATATATATATATATATATATATATATATAAAAACAGTTTTTTATATATATATATATATAAAGGTTTATATATATATATATATTTATATATATATATATAAAACAGGTTTATATATATATATATATATATATATATATATATATAATTTTATTTTTACTTTAAGCAGTTTGTATTACGTCTATCGTTCTGCGTATTCGAGAAAACTTTATAAAAAATTGTGTTCTTCGGTAGGAATCCCTTTTGAATTTAATAATAATAATAATAATAATAATAATAATAATAATAATATGGTTTAGAATTTTAGCTAAGTCAATCTATATCTATAATTCTCAAAATGTGTGTGAGAGGGATCGAATGTTGTTTATGCGTTGCCAAAGTTTTCATCCGATTTTGATGAAACATTTTTTTTGTTTAACAGATAATACTTCAGTGCCGGTTTTGAGTCTAAATTGGCTGAAAAAATTTACAAACTTAAAATCGAAATAAACTGATTTTTCACACTTTTCGCAAAAATTAAAGGCAAAATTTAATGTCTGTAAAAAACAGCGTACAATCAATTTAGGGATTTGAAATCTAACGCCAAAGATTATTAGAATTATAAAAAAATATATTATAAATAAAAATTATCGTATATTGTTATTATGATGGTCGATGGAAGAGGTTCCTTCTTTGCAAGATTGAGAACGTAAAAACAGCACTTCTGAGGGCCACCCCCATTCAAATTGTTAACCCTCCATTTGGGGGTGTGCCTCAGTTGCTTCCAGTATTGTTACTAATACTGATCTTCGGGTTTTCGGGTGGGCTGTCTTTAAACTTAAACTGCTCCAATTGAACAGTAAAAATTCCCAGTAATGAAACAAAAGGTCGAAGATGGATTATACTGCTAGTATATATATATGTGTGTGTGCGCGCACGCGTGTAGGTGTGGTTGTGCGTGTAATGAGGGGTTGAATTAGTATGTATATGTATGTATTCTATTGTCAGATGGTCGATGACGAAACCGGTATCCCACTCCAATTTCTTGCAAGTGAAGCTTTTTATTAGTAACACCGTAGGATGAAAAAAAGGCTGGAGAACTCTTGACGAGTTAATGGTCAGCTAACTAGGGGTACTGTCTCAATAAATCGCCGTGGAGAAGTTAAGGGGGAACCACCTCACTATTAATCCCACGTAAACTCATG